AAAGGACTACAAAAAGACTAAGACAAGGAATAAAAAGGACTTACAAAAATAAGACAAGACAAGAAAGAAGGCCTACAAATACAGTAGACCAAGAAGGAAGAAAGGACTACAAAAAGAATAGAAAAGGAATAAAGGACTACAAAAAGAATAGAAAAGGAAGAAAGGACTACAAAAAGACTAGAAAAGGAAGAAAGGACTACAAAAAGACTAGAAAAGGAAGAAAGGACTACAAAAAGAATAGAAAAGGAAGAGAAAGAACTACAAAAGACTAGAAAAGGAAGAAATGACTACAAAAAGACCTAGAAAAGGAGACAGCAAGACTAGCAAAAAAGACTAGAAAAGGAAAAGATGACTACAAAAAGACTAGAAAAGTAAATATAAAGGACCTGTACAAAAAGTACTAGACCAGGAACCAACAAACACAAGGACACTCAAAAGGACTAGAAGGAATAAGATATAGTTAAAATATATTATACAGGACTACAAAAGACTAGAAAAGGAATAAATGACTACAAAAAGAATAGAAAAGGCGAAGGACTAGAAACGGAAGGACGTAAAGTGACTGTAAAGAACTAAGGACTAACAAATACTATTAAATGAAGCAAGGACTACACAAATAGCAGAACAAATAATAAAGGACTACAAAAAGACTAGTAAATTAAGAAAGGACTACAAAAAGAATAGAAAAGGAAGAAAGGGACTACAAAAAGACAAGAAAAGGAAGAAAGAACTACAAAAAGACTAGAAAATGAAGAAAGGACTAAAAAATACTATTAAAGGAAGCAAGGACTACACAAATAGCAGAACAAATAATAAAGGACTACAAAAAGACTAGTAAATTAAGAAAGGACTACAAAAAGAATAGAAAAGGAAAAAAGGACTACAAAAACACTAGAAAGAAAAGAAAATACTACAAAAAGACTACAAAATGAAGATATTACTACAGAAATACTAGAAAAGGAATAAAGGACTACAAAAAGACTGCAAAGAGAAAAAGACCTAGTGCCTTCTGTCCCATAATTCATCCATGCCTTTATCTCCACATACTGTACATTCATCATCATCATAATCATCATCATCGTCATCATCATCGTCACTTCATCTTCATCTTTCTGCTTCCTCCCTGTGTTTCCGATCATTTTCCCATGATCCTCTTGGCCTCCATCTCTCCGGCAGCTTCCCAACACCATGGAGGTAAAAAAAGACGTAGAAGAAGAAGTTGTAGTTTTAGATTCAACATGTAGAACAGGACGGTTTTAACCAATCACAACAGAGCCAGCCAGCTAACCAATTAGAGCAGACTGGGCTCTGGTTTCAGACAGAGGGTGTAAAGAGGTGCTGCAGCACAGGCAGTATGAGAACAATAAAGAGCTTTTTGAACATTAAAAGCACAGAGACATGTCCCAGTAGAGACACTACATACTGATATACACCTGAACATCAGCAGGAGAGGACTCTTTAAAGTAGAGACACTACATACTGATATACACCTGAACATCAGCAGGAGAGGACTCTTTAAAGTAGAGACACTACATACTGATATACACCTGAACATCAGCAGGAGAGGACTCTTTAAAGTAGAGACACTACATACTGATATACACCTGAACATCAGCAGGAGAGGACTCTTTAAAGTAGAGCCACTACATACTGATATACACCTGAACATCAGCAGGAGAGGACTCTTTAAAGTAGAGACACTACATACTGATATACACCTGAACATCAGCAGGAGAGGACTCACTTACGTTAGCGGTGTCGTAAAAACCGTGGGAAAATGTAAAATACGATGACGAAGAAGAAGATTACAGTGGCCCCAATTTTTGTCCATTCTGGACAAGTGAAAAATGTATTCGGAAGTAAATTGCCAAACTCACTTGTCCATGGACAAGTACTCTCTAAAAACTTTTTCTCACACTGGGTAAATACAGACAAATAATCCTCTCTACACTTTTGTTGCTGTACTTTTACCATAAGGGTGTTTTTAATAAACACAGAACCGCAGTGTTCCTACATCGCCCCCTGGAGTTCGACCTTAGAGCTGCACTCTTTAAAGCTGCACGGACTGTCACAATAAACACAGCATTATAATTCAAATAAGAGAACTCTTAGAAAAATAGAGACTTTTAACATCTGTTGAAAATGGCATCAGTTCTTTCCACTGCTTCCACCATTTAAATTATTTATGTGTTTTATTGTTTTGTTTATTCACTGTGTTGTGTGTTGTTTTGTCTCTCAGCTGTTCACCACTAAAGCTCAGAGTCTGCTGATGATGACGTCTGTGGCCATGCCCGTCTTCAGCAAGAAGAAGGAAACGGTCCGTGGAAACTCTTTTTTATCCTTCTGATAATGATCATTTAAACTTTTAAAAACTGCACACTTAAGGTAAAAGAGAAAAGCAAGAGGCTTCCAGACTCTATCCAGAAGATAATGTCATTATGAACTCATTTAACAGAAAACAAAGATCAGGACGGTGCAAAACAAGACATTCATTCGTGGAATATTTGGAAAAATATATATATATAATATATAAGAAATATATTTTGATTTGATTTATTTTGAACGTGTAAAACAATAATACAAAAAATAATAATAATTATGAAACAAGAGAATTATGATACTTTACAAACTTAAAACAGTATAAAATTGATAAACAAAAATATGATTGACTTTCAAATTATATATAAACAATTATATCATATTATAAATAATTGTATTATATTATACATAGACAAATATAATACTGTATGAGGCGTGAACAGTACATTAATGTTTGTTTGGGGCCTTTTGGGTTTTGTTAAAAAACTCTCACTCGTCACCGGCTTGAGCTTCAATATCAGGATCCATGTAATTATTATCCTCTCAAGAATGGAAGTCAAAACAAAAAAGAAAATAATTTGTTGGTATTTTTCTCAAAATCTCAAAATTCTGTCTTTTTCAAAAAAATCTCAAAATTCTGACGTTTTTTTTAATGCTGACTTTTTTTTCTGACTTTCTTTCAAAAGTCTGACTTTTTTTTAAAATTCTGACTTTCTTTCAAAATGCTGCCTTTTTTTTTATTCTGAGTTTTTTTTAAAAAACCTCTGACTTGTCTTTTAAAATCCTGACTTTTTCTGGAAAATCTGACTTTTTCTCAAAAGTCTGACTTTTTCTCAAAAATCAAAAAATTCGGACTTTTTCTCAAAAATCTGTATTTTTCTATAAAAAAATGCTAAATTCAGACTTTTTCAAAAAAAATCTCAAAAATCTGACTTTCTCTCAATATTCTGACTTTTTCTCCAAATCAATTTTTTTTTTTAAATGAGCATGCTTGTCATATGTCTCTCTCCATTAGTGCTGGGGGGAAACGATTATTTTGAAAACGATTAATCGGGCGATTATTTGATCGATTAGTCGACTAATCTAACGATTATTTTTCTGTTGTTCAATTCATAAAAAACGTAATGTAAAAAAAACGTAATGTAAACATTTTTTTTTTCACGATACTGTGTCTCAGGGGATCTTAATATTTAAGAACCTATTAATGTGTTATACCAGATTAACGGAAATAATCTCAGCTAACTGACGATACAAACCATGTTTACCAAAACAAAACACAAGTCTCATAAGAAGCATCTAAATGACCCCTGAGCGAAAAATGCTAACGGACATTGGCACAGAACTCAAGATAAAAAGTACCCTTATTACTTATCGTAGCTGCACATACAATATATCCGATTAAAGCTGAGACTCCACCGATTATGTAGGTATATAGTATCATCACTGAGTGATCCGGACTCGCGACAGGGGAAGCAAATTAGAGATGGCAAATCCGGATCATTTTATGGACTCGGAGTCTTCTGAGTCAATCATTGAAGAGATCCGGATCATACGAGTCATTTGAGTCATTTGAGTCATATGAGTCAGCATGACCAAGACCGTAGAAATCCTATCGGTGAAACCGAAAAGTTGTTGCATTTAACCAGCATATTAAACTAACGTTACATTAACCTCCGCTACACAGTGTCTTTTGCTTTAATAAAACATGTGTGTGTGTGTGCATTTTAAAAAATAAGTGTTTTGCATTATATGTATATAGTTATTTTAATATGTTCCTGTACTTAAGCTAATTTTGCACAATTGTGTTTTCATTTAATAATAATAATAATAATAATAATAATAATAATAATAATAATAATAATAATAATAATAATAATAATAATAATTGTATAATTACATTTTATATATTCTAACTGTTTTGCAATTTTCTATCATTTGTTTCTTTTTGTGTGCCATGTTCAAAATAAACGAGTTTCCAAGTAAGATCCTTATTGGAAATGCAGATATTATTACAGGAGACTGTTGCACAACATGACCATTTTGTTAGAAGTCTACACTGAAACTTAATTTAGAGCCGGAAAAATCGCGGGATCCGTGAATCCAGGTCAATGATCGAGAGAGACCAGTAGCCTACGAGGACTCAGAGCCGTAACATATAGCAGGCAGCAGATCCAGAGATCCAGCAGACTCGTCCCCATGCACGAATCTACAGCAGACTCAGCCCCTCCTCCGGCTCGCACGGCTCCCGCGAGTCCCACGGCTCCCTCGACGAGTCGCAGCAGACTCAGAGATTTGCGGACTCACGGCTCACTCACGGCTCACGGCTCACTCACGGCTCCCGCGAGTCCAACGACTCACGGCTCACTCACGGCTCACGGGACTCTCGCGGGAGCCGGAGGAGGGGCTGAATTTGCTGTTGATTCGTGCATGGCGACGAGTCTGCTGGATCTCTGGATACAACAACGTTGTAATGTGATTGTACACGTTATAAAGAGAGTAAAGAGTGACGCAATTTATAGTTTTAATTGTTACGTCACATCAGGTGTAGGACTCAAAGGACTCGGGTTAATCGAGAGGGAGACTCGTCACGACCGGCTCATTACTAGGATCCGGGTTAATGATCCGGATGAATCATGACTCGCCCATCTCTAAAGCAAATACAGTCATCACAACACGTACCTTCACAGAGCTTCTAAGGAGATCGTCTCACCGCCGTAGCTGTCAATCTGATCAAAAGACGTGTTCAATGGCATTCAAATGAGAAAAAACGCGGCTGAATCGGTTAATCCATAGGTTTTTAACGTCTATGTATAAAAAAATGATTGAATTTATAATCCATAATTCCATTTTATGTAAAAATCGGAGAGCAAATGCTAGCTGCTAATGGTAGCCACCACAGCTAGCTGCTGCTTCTGCTAGGCTATGCAGCAGTCTCAGTGAGATATAAATATATAAATATCTTTGCGTTTTGGACTAACTTTAAAATATTCCCATGCTTTTGAAGACCTAGGGCGAGATGTTTTCGTTTGGGGGCTTCGTGCGCAATCCTGTGAGGAGGAGGTGGTAGCCGTTTCAGTCTCCATTGTGTTTGAAGTGCGATTGCGAACTGCTTGTTGCTTTGGGTGACCCACGTCATCACCTTTGTCATCATGTGTCTCTCATGTTGTCTCATTCTCAGTGTTTTCCCAACAGGTTTATATAACACACATTTGATATCACAGTAAGTAAAGAGTGTGTTGTTGTGTGTGCAGCTGTCTCACGGCATCCTGCTGGGCGTGGTCGGCACAGACATCCCTCTGATGGAGGTGATGAGGCTCGCCCCCAGATACATAGTGAGATCACTTCTGATTACTCCACTTCCTGTTGTTATCCACACCTAGGGATCACTTTTCACAATAAAAGCCAACAGAATCACCTCTATTTCAAAATAAAAGCTGAAAACATGCCTTTTGTTACGTCCATTTCACAATAAAGCATTCCTTAAGAAACCGTCCATTTCATAATAAAAGCTTAAAACACGTCTTTAACTTTCTTCCATTTCACAATAGAACGTACTGCTTACTTACATTTCATAAAAAAAGCTTAAAAAAGTACTTGTTTGACCTTAAAAACAATACTTAAGCATCCTTTCATTTCACAATAAAAGCTTGCACCATTCATTTAGCTTCCTACCCTTTCACAATAAAGGTCAAGGACATTAACATTTACTGAGCATCCTTGTATCCTTCCTCTTCCTCCTCTTCCTCAGCTGGGTCCTCACGGCTACGCCTTCCTCATCACCAACAACGGCTACATCCTGGCTCACCCTGACCTCCGACCTCTGGTGAGTTAAACATGACCTCTGATTTAAGAAAGACATGTATTTTAAGCTGATTTTCTGAAGGGTTATTTACGTGTATAGTTTTCCTAAAGACGGTAATAAATGTCTCTGTCCGCAGTATAAAGACGGGAAGAAGCTGAAGCCGAAGCCCAACTACAACAGTGTGGACATGTCCGAGGTGGAGTGGGAGGACACAGAGGAGACGGTGAACACCATCACAATACAAATATATAATGATGGTTTCTGAGATATAACTATGTTGGAATGAAACCCTTCAGATAGTCATGTTTTACTCTAAAGGCCCAGACACACCAAGCCCATTTTGGCCGTCGGTGGGCGTCAGGCCGACGATGAGCGTCGACATGCCTTACTCAGATCGGTGTGTCCCGCACCGTCGTGTCTTTTCAGACGGGCCGACGCCTTTTCGGCCGAAAACCCGCCGTTTCAACATGTTGAGTCGGTGGGCAGTCGGCCAAAGGCAGTCGGCAAAAGAAATCCCTCTGATTGGCTGTTCAGCTAGCGAATCAATGCATGAGAAGCGAAACGGAAGTGAGGGACCCAAACAAACGATTAAGAAGGCAAATGTGAGATTTAATTTACCTCCAGCTCTCGACAGGTTCGGGAAAGCCCCGTGAGCTTCTCGCTGTAGAGTGAAGATGGAACGTTGTTTGTTTATATCACGCAGTCTGTTCTTCTTCTCTCGGTTATCACGCAGTCTGTCTTCCGGTTGTTGCCTCTTTTGAATGACGAATACACACTACCGCCGCCTGCTGGTAAGGAGAGTTATTGCCACTCATGCGCAGTTCGTGCGTGCTTCTTGGCCGTCGGCTGAAGTCTTTGCGGTGTGTTCCAGAGCGACTGTTGGCCGAGACGCAGAGACGCGAGGCGACACAACAGCCGGGGGTCCGTCTGTGTCTGTTCTTTGGTGTCAGCTTGGTGCGTCCGGGCCTCAAGGGGAGGGAACTGGACGGCATATTAAAGCCATAAAAAAGAAATATCCAGGCGTTCAGGGAAGGGGATAGTACGTGAGAGATAAAATGAGATAAAAAATTAAATTACAAATTCACGAGGAAAAAACTCGGATATTTTTTCGTAGATTAAAGAAGATTAATTCCAATAAAAAAACTCGTGAAAAAACATAAACTCAAAAGGGTTAATTCATAGAAAAAAAAGGTTATGAGGAAAAGGTTGGAATTGTTCGCACATGTCAAAATATACATTTGCAGAAAAACTGTGTTTTTACGAGACTCAGACGGTAAAGTATGAAAATAAATTGCAGGGCAAACCTTAAATATTCTCTGAGATAAAAAAGTATTAATTGTTTTTTGCAAAGTGGTTTCTTAAACAAACATAAATAGTACTTTAGTGAGTGTTACGACTTGTGAACTCACAAAATCAATTTCAGAAGTTTCAGTTTTTTCTCTGAATATTCCCACCTCCTCTTAATCCATCCATCCATCCATCTTCTCCCGCTTATCCGTGGTCGGGTCGCGGGGGTAGCAGTTCCAGCAGAGAGCCCCAAACTTTCTTTTCCCTGGCGACATCAACCAGCTCTGACTGGGGGATCCCAAGGCGCTCCCAGGCCAGCGAAGAGATATAATCTCTCTAACTAGGTGCCCGAACCACCTCAACTGGCTCCTTTCGACGTGAAGGAGGAGCGGCTCAACTCCGAGTCCCTCCCTGATGACCGAACTTCTCACCTTATCCCTAAGGGAGACACCAGCCACCCTGCGGAGGAAACCCATCTCGACCGCTTGTATCCGCGATCTGGTTCTTTCGGTCATGACCCATCCTTCATGACCATAGGTGAGGGTAGGAAGGGAAATGGCCCGGAAGACAGAGAGCTTTGCCTTCTGGCTCAGCTCCCTTTTCGTCACAACGGTGCGGTAAAGCGACTGCAGTACCGCTCCCCGCTGCTCCGATTCTCCGGCCCATCTCACGCTCCATTGTTCCCTCACTCGAGAACAAGACCCCGAGATACTTGAACTCCTTCACTCCCCTTAATCTGTACTTTTAAAAAAAATGTACCCAAAATGTCCCTTATTTGTTATTTTAGAGACTGATCTGACTTTGTGTTTCCCCGTGTTCGGTAGCTGAGGACGGCGATGGTGAGAGGAGAGACGGGCAGCATGAGGCTGAGCGTCAGAGCCTCCGTGGACAAAGCGGTGAGGAAAGAACTCACTGCTTTTAGGAAACAGTTCATTCTAGTTCATCTCTTATTAAATACTTTTACATTAATATATCCTGTTTGTATAAATAACTTCATTCTATTTTTTTAGCAAAATGTATTTTTATTACATTAAATTTTTGTTGCACATTTATTTCTTTTTTTGATTTTTACTAATTAATGAAGGAAATATTATTATCTTAATAATAATAATAGATTTATTTCGTGAGCGCTTTTACAGGTGCTCAAAGTCGCAGAGATAGTGAAAAGAAAAGAACAACTAATACATATAGTTAAAGTCACATTAAAAACAAGCAATACAACAACAAAGATTGAAGAGGTGGGTTTTAGTGTTTTGAAGGTGGTGAGGTCAGTGCAGTCTCTGATGGGCTGGGGGAGTGAGTTATTATTATTATTATTAATATTATTATTCTTTTTATTTTAACCTACATTTTTACCTTACCTCTTATTTTTTTATATTCTTAAATTGTGTAACCGACCGTCACGTTAACAATTTCCCCCCTGAGATGAATAAAGTATTTTCATTCTGATTCTATCGTAACTCAAAGACAGTATATTTATGAATTTAATTAGTGATATAGTTAAATTCCATCGCCGCTCATGAATACATCATTTAGACTTTATAGTTTATTAAATGATATGAGCACACCTGCAGTTCCCCTCCAGGTCAATAGGTGGCGGTAATGCTTTGTTAATGATTCTGCTTATTTCCTGATTGGTCTTCATGTGATTAGAAGCAGTTATTATAAACACCACTGATTTATGTTAACTTAAACAATGTCACTTACATCACACCAGATGGAGAAGCTAACAGAGGCTAACATTAGCATCATGACTTAGTTTACTATCAATATGTTTTCATTAATAAAATACTAAAAGACAGATGAAGATCCTGCTATATATTTATGTTATATGTATTAAATGATGATCATACTTTCCTCCTCGTCCAACAGAAACGTCCTCTGTACCTCGTCAACGATTACTTCTACACAAACATCGATGAAACTCCTTTCAGGTGAATCTGCTGTTGGAGATTGTGTTGAGAGTTTAATGATTGATACCTGAACCTGCTCATTTCAAGGATGTTTCAAAGTGTGGTTGTATATCAGACTTCTCATATCTACAGTAGATATTTGGAGTACCAGCAGGAAGCTAATCAATGAACTGCTGTGGATGTGTTTTAAAATCTATATCAGTTTAATTATATGATACATAATAAGAATATTGTCACAGTTATACCTTTCTATCAGACAACCTTTTCTCACTTTTCTTAAGTACAATATCTGAGTACTTCTACTTTTACTCGAGTACAAGATCTGAGTACTTCTACTTTTACTCAAGAACAAGATCTGAGTACTTCTACTTTTACTCAAGAACAAGATCTGAGTACTTCTACTTTTACTCGAGTACAAGATCTGAGTACTTCTACTTTTACTCAAGTACAAGACCTGAGTACTTCTACTTTTACTCAAGTACAAGACCTGAGTATTTCTACTTTTACTCAAGCACAAGATCTGAGAACTTCTACTTTTACTCAAGTACAAGATCGGAGTACTTCTACTTTTACTCAAGTACAAGACCTGAGTACTTCTACTTTTACTCAAGTACAAGATCTTTGTACTTCTATTTTTACTCAAGTACAAGATCTGAGTACTTCTACTTTTACTCAAGTACAAGACCTGAGTACTTCTACTTTTACTCAAGTACAAGATCTTTGTACTTCTACTTTTACTCAAGTACAAGACCTGAGTACTTCTACTTTTACTCAAGTACAAGATCTGAGTACTTCTACTTTTACTCAAGCACAAGACCTGAGTACTTCTACTTTTACTCAAGTACAAGATCTGAGTACTTCTACTTTTACTCAAGCACAAGACCTGAGTACTTCTACTCTTACTCGAGTACAAGATCTGTGTACATTACATTACATTGCATTTAACTGACGCTTTTGTCCAAAGCGACTTACAATAAGTACATTCGACCAGGAAGACACAACCTTGAAGAAAACAGAATCATATAAGTATATCAGGTTTCATAGAGCCAAACATTTCAAGTGCTACTCAACTGGCTATAGATAAGCCAGTCCTTTATTAGTATAAAAGTGCTTCGTTAATCGTTCTAACGCTCGAAGTGGAGTCGAAAGAGATGAGTTTTCAGTTTGCGCCGGAAGATGTGCAAGCTATCTGCCGTCCTGATGTCAATGGGGAGCTCATTCCACCATCTTGGAGCCAGGACAGCAAACCCACGTGTTTTCGCCGATGGGAACTTGGGTCCCCCTCGCAGCGAGGGCGCAACGAGTCGTTGGCTGATGCAGAGCGTAGTGCACGCGCTGGGGTGTACGGTTTAACCATGTCCTGGATGTAGGAAGGGCCAGATCCATTCGCAGCACGGTAAGCAAGTACCAGTGTCTTGAAGTGGATTCTAGCAGTTACCGGAAGCCAGTGAAGGGAGCGGAGGAGCGGAGTGGTGTGGGAGAATTTAGGAAGGTTGAAAACCAGACGAGCCGCTGCATTCTGAATGAGCTGCAGAGGTCGGATGGCACATGCAGGTAGACCAGCCAGGAGGGAGTTGCAGTAGTCTAGGCGTGAGATGACGAGAGCCTGGACCAGAACCTGCGTCGCTTTCTGTGTCAGCTGGGGGACGCATCCTCCTGATGTTGTAAAGCGTGTATCTGCAGCAGCGGGTTTGTAGCAGCGATGTTTGCAGTGAAGGACAGGTTGTTATCTAGGGTCACACCCAGATTCCTTGCAGTCTGAGTCGGGGAAACAACTGAGGTGCCGATGTTGATTATCAGGTCAAGAGTTGGACAATCTTTTCCCGGGAGGAAGAGCAGCTCAGTCTTGTCAAGGTTGAGCTTGAGGTGATGAGCAGACATCCACTGAGAGATGTCAGCTAGACAAGCAGAGATGCGTGCGACGACCTGGCTCTCTGAGCGGGGAAAGGACAGAATTAATTGGGTGTCGTCAGCGTAGCAGTGGTAAGAAAAACCATGCGGGCTAATGACTGATCCGAGCGAGTTTGTGTACAAGGAGAAGAGGAGGGGACCAAGAACAGAGCCCTGAGGGACCCCCGTAGTTAATTGACAAGGGTCGGACTCAGACCCTCTCCAAGTCACCCTGTAGGTACGGTCTTTCAGGTATGAGGTGAGGAGGGAAAGTGCAGAGCCAGAAACTCCAAGTTTTTGGAGAGTGCGAAGGAGGATCTGATGATTCACCGTGTCGAATGCAGCAGACAGGTCCAACAGGATGATGACAGAGGAGAGGGATGCAGTTTTGGCAGTGTGCAGTTCCTCCGTGACAGCAATGAGAGCAGTTTTCTGTGGAGTGACCTGCCTTGAAACCAGACTGGTGCGGATCCAGAAGGTTGTTCTGATTGAGATAACAGGAGAGTTGTTTAAAGACAGCGCGTTCAAGTGATTTAGACAGGAACGGGAGGAGAGAGACAGGCCTGTAGTTTATAACATCAGACGGGTTGAGAGTGGGTTTCTTTAGGAGAGGGTTTACTCTTGCCTCCTTGAGACTGTTTGGAAAGTGACCAGAAGTTAGAGAAGTGTTGATGAAATGGGTGAGAAACGGTAGAATATCAGGAGCGATAGTCTGAAGGAGGTTTGAAGGGATAGGGTCCAGAGGACAGGTGGTAGGGCGGGCAGAGGTAATGAGGGTAAGAACCTCACTTGGAGAGAGAGGGGAAAAGGAGGTTAGTGTGTTGGTGAAAGAAGGGTCTGGTGACCCAGCGGTGAGTAAAGGTGAGTCAGAAAAAGAAGAGCGAATATCATCAACCTTTTTTTCAAAGTGGGTAACAAAGTCGCTTGACAGAAGTGAGGAGGGGGGAGGAGCTTTTGGAGGGTCCAAGAGGGTGGAGAAGATGGAAAATAGTTTTTTAGGATTGGAATAGGAAGATTGGATCTTATCTTGAAAGAAAGTGCTTTTTGCCTGAGAGATCGAAGCAGAGAAAGAGGAGAGGAGAGCTTGATAGGTTAGGAGGGTCGTCACGGTGTTTGGATTTCCACCATTTCCGCTCTGCTGCCCTAAGGACGGTTCTATTAGCACGCAGTGCATCATTTAGCCAGGGAGCCGGAGGGGACTGACGAGCCTGCCGAGATGTCAGAGGACAGAGCGAGTCCAGAGTGGATGAGAGAGTAGAGAGGAGAGTTTCTGCAGCAGAGTTTGGAGGCAGGAGATGGAACGAATCAGAGGAAGGGAGGGCTGAGAGCACCGACGAGGCAAAGGTAGAGGGAGAGAGGGAGCGAAGGTTACGGCGGACAAGTGTAGGATGGGAAGAGATTAGTTTGTTATGTTTGGAAAGGGATAGAGAGAATGAAATGAAGAAGTGATCGGATGTGTGGAGCGGGTTTACAGAGAGGTTAGAAGTAGCGCAGTTCCTTGAGAATATGAGATCAAGGACATTGCCAGCTTTATGAGTCGGTGGGGACGGAGAGAGTGTGTACTTCTACTTTTACTCAAGTACAAGATCTGAGTACTTCTACTTTTACTCAAGCACAAGATCTGTGTACTTCTACTTTTACTTGAGTACAAGATCTGTGTACTTCTACTTTTACTCAAGTACAAGACCTGAGTACTTCTACTTTTACTCAAGTACAAGATCTTTGTACTTCTACTTTTACTCAAGTACAAGACCTGAGTACTTCTACTTTTACTCAAGTACAAGATCTGAGTACTTCTACTTTTACTCAAGCACAAGACCTGAGTACTTCTACTTTTACTCAAGTACAAGATCTGAGTACTTCTACTTTTACTCAAGCACAAGACCTGAGTACTTCTACTCTTACTCGAGTACAAGATCTGTGTACTTCTACTTTTACTCAAGTACAAGATCTGAGTACTTCTACTTTTACTCAAGCACAAGACCTGAGTACTTCTACTCTTACTCGAGTACAAGATCTGTGTACTTCTACTTTTACTCGAGTACAAGATCTGTGTACTTCTACTTTTACTCGAGAACAAGATCTGTGTACTTCTACTTTTACTCGAGTACAAGATCTGTGTACTTCTACTTTTACTGGAGTACAAGATCTGTGTACTTCTACTACTGGAGTACAAGACCTGTGTACTTCTACTTTTACTCGAGTACAAGATCTGTGTACTTCTACTTTTACTCGAGTACAAGATCTGTGTACTTCTACTTTTACTCGAGTACAAGATCTGTGTACTTCTACTTTTACTCGAGTACAAGATCTGTGTCCATACACTCACTTGCACATGTGTGATTTCGCCCCTAGATGGCGTCGTTCTCTCACAATTAAAATCTAGACGTTTCTTTGTGTCTGCAGTTTCTCCATGGTGCTGACGGGAGGTAACGGGAAGCTGATGTATTTTGGAAATGTGTCTGTGGAGGAAGGTAGGAAAACACACACACACACACTACACACACACACACACACACACACACACACACACACACACACACGCTATTTTACCCATTTGTAGCCTGGCACTAAAGCTTATTTAATGGCAAATCACAACGCGGTAGATTTTGTGAATAACAATCAACTATTGTTTATATAGTATAAACATGTATATTTTCTACTCTCTTGTTTATTTCTAGTCTTTTAATTGTTATTGTGCAATGCCTTGTCTTTTATGCTGCTGCAACACTAACATTTCCAAAATTGGGATCAATAAAGTACTTCTTATCTTATCTTAAATAGCTCAATATCACAAACACACATGAATAGTCTCAGTCTTACAGTGTGCACGACATACAACAACCTCATGTTGGAAAAATGTTTGACGATAAAGTTTAAACCTTTGAATCTATGTGTAGAAACCGGATGAAATTCATGACTTTTCCTTTCATGCGTTTAAAAAATAACTTCCAGACTCAGAGGATGTACATCACATGTCCTCTTGGAAGGAAGTCAATATTAAAATATAACTGACGTATTGTTTGTGTTTTTCTCTGCAGGACTGCACGACCTGACCTCCCCCGACCTCAGCATCGCCTCCGAGTGGTACGTCTGAAACTCATGATTAATACAGGACGTTATTTAATTATTATTAAATGCATTATTAAAAAAATCTAAATAAATACAAAATTCATAATAATAATATCATCTAAAATTTATTCTAGAATCTATAAATGCATTATTTTAACTTTTGTATAATTGTATTTCTTTTAACAGGATGAGTGAGGGTATAATTACTTTACATTATTACAAGATTTCATGACACCAAAAAATTAATTGGAAACCAAATGTTACTTAAATGAGATTAATTAATACTTCATCCCTACTCGTTTTTTTAAAACAAACAAACACTGAAAGCCCAAAATAACCATCAACAAAACTTTGTGTACATTGAATTATAAATGCATTAATTTAACTTATTACATGGTTTATCTAGAGCAGTGGTTCTCAAACTTTTTCTGTCAGGCTTTGGAGAAAAAAAAAAGTCGGGCCCCCCCAACACAAATAGTCGGGCTCAGTGGCGGCGCCAGAGATTTATTTTGGGGGTGCTGTGGGGTAGCTTGACGTTTCATAGAGGGCGCTCAAACATTTAGGGTTTCCCATGAATGTACCGGGCGCTACAGAGGAATGTTCTACTGCAACACTCCCCACGCAGACACACAGTGTGACTGTTACAATGAAGGCACGATAATCAGCTCACGGCATATAGGTGTAAGCTGGGGTCAAGTGCTATTTGTACAGGTGGTGTGTGGACCTCACATAGGGGGGTCCGGGGGCAAGCTCCCCCGGGAAGATTTATTTTTAAATATTGAAGTTGAAAGCATCAATCTGGTGCACTTTGAGAGCAACATGAAGAGATCTATGGATACCTCTCTCAACACCCATTTGAAACAGAACTGTAAACAGATTTACTTTTTCTTTATGGATATTTTACAAATCACCCTTTTAAACTTTATTCTTGTTTTACTGTCATATAGTATTTCAAACCTGTTTTTCATTTATTCTCTTATTTTTTTATAACTATAATGATCATATAAACGTGTGCCTCAGAAATAATTGTTTACATTAATGGTGACCCAAACGTTTGAGACCCACTGAGATAACACTGAGAGTCCTTTAGCTCACTGAGTCTCTCAGTCTGACAGGAGAGGACTCTCCTCCACTTTGTTGTTGAAAAAACTCCTTATATCTGTTAGCGTAGCTCGCTAGCACCAGAAGCTAACAACAACGATCTCCGGTACCGGTGCGCTCTCTCTCTATCGCTCGCGCACACAAAATGGCTCGTTCCACACACACACAGAGCCGAGCTTTAATGAAACACAGAGACCCAGATGTAATAGTACTGCATCATATTGTTTTCTAATCAATAATCTTTCAAATTATGATTTTTTTATTTATTTTTATTTTTTTATAACCATTTTTCCTTCTGGTCTCTCGCGCCTCCCCTGTCATGACTCCACGCCCCACACTTTGGGAACCACTGGTTGAATACTCTATTCTGATTGGTCAATTCAGAACACGTGACACGTTGTTAATCCAGTACAGACAGACCGCTGTCAAGGACGTATTGACCGAAGTCCGGTCGATTGAACTGTATACAGTTTGGCCGACAAGACAAGAGGGACAAGAAAACAGCGGAGAAGTAACGGGGCAGAAACCCTCCTTTTTACGCAGCGATCCAGACATAGACATCACACAGCAAAACATATTCAGTGTGCAGTTCCTCTGGCATTAGGGCAGGGATATCTAGATACTTCCCAAGGTCTGACATCATGAAGTGTGCTACTTTTAAAGCAAGCAACGATGTTTTCAAATCTGTAATCAAAAAGCTCCTCAAAAACACTATGGAAGCAGTTCCTGCCGTTGCTACGTTAGTTCAAACAGTAACAACGGACTATTTTTCTTAGCGGATGCATGTCATTTTAAATCAATAATAGCCTACTATTTTTTAAATCAATAAAAAAAAATCTAAATCTATAAAAAGCATTTCAGTTAATATTGGGAGTCATGTCGTTACTTTGTTGAGAATGTGGCCGTGTGATAAACGGGATAATGTGCAGCGACGCGGTCATTATGGAGAACACCCTTCAGGCCGATCCAGATCCCTCCCCTTCGCGTCGGGCTCCTGATCTGCCTGTCGGGTGTTCTTTTCCCCATAATGACATTATCCCTTACCGAACTTATTCGACCCATATAACTTTATATATATATATAGCTTTAAAAAAAAAATCCGCTGCATAAAAATGATGTCTTAACAAATTAATCACAAAGCAAATTTAGTCTACAAATATTTTCCTTTTTTATTCGTTACTTTCAAAATCAAAAAGAATCCATTAATAATTTCAGAATTCATCACATCTAAATAATCTACAATTTATTATAGAAACTATCAACTTAAAAAAAGTTAATAAATGCATTATATACTATTTTTATATATACTGACGTTTATTGCCTCATAAGTTAAAGGGGACCTATCATGCAAAATGCACTTTTGTATGTCTCTTCTACATAACTATGTGTCCCCGTGTGTCGGGGAACTCACGCAGCGTCAGGAAATAAAACCCTCTCTCTTTTCCTCCGTACCCAAATCTCTAAAAACGGGGAACAACGGAGCTGATCCAGATTTGCGTCCGATATGACGTAATATCTGAAATGTGGACCCACGGGCCAATCAGAAACGTTGCTATCAGAAACAATGCCCGACTGTTTTGGACGTAATATGGTCGGTGTTTACATTAGCATCGCTAACACTCAGAGCTAACCTGTACTGGAGAGCATGTGTGTGAAGAAGCAGGAAGTAGAAAGGAACTCACCTTGTGGTATAACCGGCAAGAGAGAAAGCCTTTGAGCTCCAGACTGTTTCAGAGAGAATCCTTGATGATCCATGATATGGCGTTTCATCACGGCAGCATTTAGTTTAGACAGTAGCTGCCGGGTCCCGCATGAGCTCAGACCCCTGCTCTTTTATCAATTTTATTTTGTACTTTATATATAGCTTTTAATATTTTGGTGCTGCATAAAAATGATGTCTAAACAAATTAATCACAAAACAAATGTAGTCGACAAATATTTTCCTTTTGTATTTGTTACTTAAAAATCCAAATAATCCATTTATAATTTCAGACATTATCACATTTAAATAATCCACAATTTATTGTAGAATTTATAAATGCATTATTTTAACTAATAGCCCCAAATAACCATAAAGAAACCTTGTTAAATATATCGTAACATCTACAAGAGAATGCGCATGATAGTCAAACATCCGAGCTGAAAAAAACTTGGTTAAAATCAATTATTAAATGGATTAATTTAACTTCAATTATTTGACCAACATTTTTAAATATAGCTTTCAAAATGTTTGCTGCTATGTAAAAATGCAGTATAAACAAATCAAGTACAAAACAAATGTTGTGATGTCATAACGATGTCTTGTCTTGTGTGACCATTAGCCAATCAGCAACCAAGGTAACCCCCCCCCCCCCCCCCCCTTATCACCTGAATCTCCTCTAGAGCACCATTGAGTTCTTTGTAACCAAATGTCTCTCAGAGGGGCGTGGGGAGGGGCTCCTTATTTTCATCTGAAGTAACACACAGAGAATCAGCACTTTGGAAACAGGGCTGAAACAGAGGGGGTTATGGGTAATGCTGCAATGATCTGTTTGGTGTTTCAGCCAATCAGAGACAGGCTCTGGATATATCTGAGACCTGTGATATACTGATGAAAAACAGTATCATAGGAGACCTTTAATATATGTAATAATGCCTCTCCTCTCAGGACGTACTGTGTGACGGACATCGACCCGAGCTACATGAAGTTCTCTCAGCTTCAGGCCGCCATCCGGTACCTTCTGGGGCTCGAGCCGGATATGGAGTGTACGAAACTCTCAGTACAATCATTTCTCTCCATCCCATGAGTTAAATGTTTATCATATTGCTGTTATATTACCTGTGAGCAGGTGACGAGATGTTGCTGCAGCACGTTCTGTTCGACGCGGTGGTGACGGCGCCGATGGAAGCGTACTGGAACGCTCTGATGCTCAACGACAAGTGAGACCTAGAAGTACAGATACTCGTGTTTAAAAATACTTTGGTAAAAGTAGAAGTGCTGACTAAAGTTCTTTACTCAAGTAAAAGTAAAGACGTATGGGCTTCGAGAATGTACTTAAGTAAAAAGTACCCATGACTAACTGTTTTAAAGAGTAACTGACCTCACTCTCCCTTTGAACTCTGTGATCTTCAGGGTGGAGCCGGGCGTGGAGACGGCGTTCCTCGGGACTCGCTCCGGCCTTTTGAGGCTCACAAGATACACCGGAGTGGAGAACAGGGTGGCAAAGTAAGACCCGTTAGAAAATATATCTGACATTTACTGTGGTGTACCATTTAACTTTCTCTCCGAGTTTTCGGTGTTGGACCCTGAAGGCAGCATCTCCCTGGTCCAAAGTTTAGTTCTGCAGGATAATCTCCACATGTTAACACCACTTTATTGTTTCTGAAGTAAAAAGCTAATGTTGGGCTATAAAGGAACTACAGCACGGTCACATGACTTCACGTCACCACCGCTAAGCTAAAGGTGGCTAATGTTGGGCTATAAAGGAACTACAGCACGGTCACATGACTTCTCGTCACCACCGCTAAGCTAAAGGCGGCTAATGTTAGGCTATAAAGGAACTACAGCACGGTCACATGACTTCACTTCATCACCGCTAAGCTAAAGGAGGCTAATGTTGGGCTATAAAGGAACTACAGCACGGTCACATGACTTCTCGTCACCACCGCTAAGCTAAAGGCGGCTAATGTTGGGCTATAAAGGAACTACAGCACGGTCACATGACTTCACGTCACCACTGCTAAGCTAAAGGTGGCTAATGTTGGGCTATAAAGGAACTACAGCACGGTCACATGACTTCACGTCACCACCGCTAAGCTAAAGGAGGCTAATGTTGGGCTATAAAGGAACTACAGCACGGTCACATGACTTCACGTCACCACCGCTAAGCTCAAGGTGGCTAATGTTGGACTATAAAGGAACTACAGCAAGGTCACATGACTTAACGTCACCACCGCTAAGCTAAAGGCGGCTAATGTTGGGCTATAAAGGAACTACAGCACGGTCACATGACTTCACGTCACCACCGCTAAGCTCAAGGTGGCTAATGTTGGACTATAAAGGAACTACAGCAAGGTCACATGACTTAACGTCACCACCGCTAAGCTAAAGGCGGCTAATGTTGGGCTATAAAGGAACTACAGCACGGTCACATGACTTCACGTCACCACCGCTAAGCTAAAGGTGGCTAATGTTGGGCGTGATCTTGGTTTTAGGACTCATTCCTGCACCACTCTTTACAGATTTGCAGGGAAGTTCATTTTAATTCAGTCTGGAGCTACTTATTTACTTAGACACACCACATGCTTGTATCCTTCTGTCACTTACCAGACCAGGACTATTAATTGTGTCTTTGTGTATGTTTTCTGAACTCCCCCTGACAGGAAGTTTCTGACGGCAGCTGATAAAGCCAACCTGTTCACCATGGATCACTTCCCGCTGTGGTACCGCCTCGCCGTGGAAAACACTCCCGGAAGCTTCTACTATTACCCAGTCAACGACAAAGGTTCACCATCTCATAATCAGCAGTGGAAGAAGTATTCAGATACTTCAGTGATAGTACCAATACAATACTGTCAAAATGAAATGGACCAATCTGCACAATGACTACTTTTACTTTTGTTACTTTCACTATATTTTGATGAGAATACTTTTCTACTTTTATTTGAGTAACATTTTGAATGCAGGACTTTCACTGTAACAGAGTATTCCGACACTCTGGTACTTCTACTTTTACTCAAGTCCAAGATCTGAGTACTTCTACTTTTACTCAAGTACCAGATCTGAATACTTCTACTTTTACTCAAGTCCAAGATCTGAGTACTTCTACTTTTACTCAAGGACCAGATCTGAATACTTCTACTTTTACTCAAGTCCAAGATCTGAGTACTTCTACTTTTACTCAAGGACCAGATCTGAATACTTCTACTTTTACTCAAGTACCAGATCTGAATACTTCTACTTTTACTCAAGTACCAGATCTGAATACTTCTACTTTTACTCAAGGACCAGATCTGAGTACTTCTACTTTTACTCAAGGACCAGATCTGAATACTTCTACTTTTACTCAAGGACCAGATCTGAATACGTCTACTTTTACTCAAGTCCAAGATCTGAGTACTTATACTTTTACTCAAGTACTAGATTTGAGTACTTCTACTTTTACTCAAGTACCAGATCTGAATACTTCTACTTTTACTCAAGTACAAGATCTGAGTACTTCTACTTTTACTCAAGTACCAGATCTGAATACTTCTACTTTTACACAAGTACTAGATCTGAATATTTCTTCCACCTCTCTTCTTTCATGTCATAAAGAGTTATTCCACTAGTTTCACTTTTTAGAGAAGAAGTAGCTACAGTAAAGCTGTTATAATCGGAGTGCATTAGAAGTATAAAGCAGCATTACATGGAAATAGTCAAGTATCTCAAACATTTTACTTAAGTACAGTACTTGATCAAATGTACTTAGTTAATTCCCACCTCTGCTCATTACTTACTGCAGTATCAGCAGAATCATTATTACCAGCTGACACTCAATCGGTGTTTCTCTACAGGAGTGAAATACGCGATCGCGGTGACGTCAGCGACCATCTCCTCTGAAGGGAAGACGGCCATAGCTGGAGGTAAGTCTCTATTTAATTATTATTTTAAAGCTGTGATTTGTATCTTGTTAGTGGGACGTCATGGAAATACAGAAGGACATAGAGAGAGGACATAACTCTTAAATCTGATCTGCATTGTTTCCTGTGTATCAGTTAAGATCATGGGGTCAATTATGTTGTAAGCTTTCTACTTTTCTTGAAGTTATTTTATTATTTTTGGTTGTGTACGTAAACTAGAAAGCTGGAAATCAAAATCCAGTGTCCTTATCAACAGCAGCCTTTGAACAGGTTACATTCAGGTTATTATAAAGCTTCACTGAAAGACACAACAACAGTGTTGTAATCCAGTTACTAAACCTGCAGCAGCTGAAGTCTTTCCTCCGAATAGTTTGTATTAATAGTTGACCAACAGTGTCCGGAGAGAAGTCGTTGAATTAATTGATCTGAGTTTCAGGGTGCTAATCCCTCATTGTGATGTTGGAGTCTGGCAGGTCCTTAAGGGTTTTTAAGGACATGAGAAGAATAGAAAACACAGGGTTGTTGGAGCGAAACTCCCTCTGGAGGGAACACAGGGATTGTAGACCATTTACATGCACTAAAACCTACAGAACACACTAGAGCAGTGATTCTCAAATGGGGGTACGTGAACCCCTGGGGGTACGTTGGGGTACTGCAGGGGGTACGTGAGATTTAAAAAAAAAAGGTTAATTAAAAAAATAATCTTAGTAAAATAAGTTAAATAGAAAACACAATTTTATATAAAACATTCCTAGAGGGGTCCTCATATAAACATGTCAAATGTGTGTATTGTATTTTATAGTTTTTCACAACAACAACATATTACTTGAATTGAAACAACTCCTTGTTTTAGTGTTATGTTATTTTTTTTCATGCATAAAAGTGAAAATATCCTTAGTTTGTTGTAATGCATACCACGAAGGAGTTAATACATCACACACTGAGGGAACATCACTATATTGTATTATTTATATAGC